GTGAGACCCACCTCTGTCAAGTCGGGGTGAAGGACATGACAGCTCGTTGGAGTCCACCGAGATGACGTCCATGGTGTGGTCCTCCAGGTCCAGGACTGATAAGGGTCAGGGCCGACGTATTGCGAAAATGGTGGCCACATGGGACAACCACCGAGCACAGGACACACAAGGAGAAAAACAGCCTGTCACCTAATGTCTGGCCCCCCCCCCCGACCCAGCCAAGCAGGGGGCAGCAGACAGGCCCCAAAGGGCCACCACCACAGCCTGGCTCCTGCCCCTCTCAACACAGTGAGTGTGGGCAGGGTGTGTGCGCAGAGGGGCACACAGGTCCCCTGCCAGGCTTGCCACTGGTTCCATCACTCACAGCCCACCTAGGCCCTGCCCGTGTCCTCAGAGCCGACAGACGCGGGGAGAGTACACAGGCGGGGTCACGTGTCCACCGTGGCTGAGGATGACTCAGTGGCCGTCTATCCCCATCTCCTGGATCACCCCCTCCCCCATCATGCCAAAGACAGAGCGGTTGTCTAGAAGGGGCTCACAGGTGACGCAGGATGGCCCCCACTGCTCCTTGTCCAGACTGTCCAGATCAATGGTTAGATCGGGGCCAGGCCCCCCTTGGGGCTCCAAGCTCAGCGTCATGGCAGAGAGCAGGGCCATCACACAGGGACCAACTTCCCAGGAAGCAGGAAGAGCTACAGGCCTTGGGCGGGAGGCCGGGACTTCCCAGGCGCTCTGGTCGGAGACCCTAAGTTCCGCCCCAGGTGGGAAGTGCGGGGGCGTTCACGCTGGGAGGCAGGGGCGGAGGTCAGAGTGGAGGTGGAGGCGGGGTGCCTGCGGAGGGCTCGAGGGCTCGGAGTGGGCCCAGAATGAAGGCGCTTGTTCGGTTTGTTCCGTGGTGGAGGGCTCAGGAGGAGGGTGGGAGCTGGGAGCTGGCGGAGCGGGAAAGGGGGTGCAGAGTGGGTGGGTGGCAGTCTCAGGACAAGAGAAAGGGCTCTCCTTGTGGTGTGGGGAATGGGATGAGGGGGTTTGGGGCCATTAAGTGGGCCAGGGGCACTGAGGGCTGAGACAAGAGGGCTTTGAACTTCATGAGAAGGGACTTGGGAGAGTCAGTGTAGCACAGGGCTTTCCTTTGGGGTGGCATGGGGAGGTCAGGGAGAAGGGCTGGGGGTCCTCAGTGCTGGGACCCTGGGACAGAACAAGGGCATGCGATCACACCAGAGGGACTAAGCGTGGGACGTGTGAGCCCGTGGAGCTCGGGGTGGCCGCTCCCTCACTCGCTGGGTCTTGGTGTTTCCTTTGGGACATAAACAATCCCTCCGAGACCCACCATCAGACCCTTCAAGAGCGAGAAAAAAATACCCCCAAAAGCTTGTCACCCACAAACATAACTAAACACCCCCCTCTCCCGGTCACAAGAAGGCACTGCATCTTCCTGTTGCGTGACCCACACCAAATCCAGCTCTGAGCAAAGCTGGTAGGGATGGAGAACCTTTTCTCTGCGAAGCGCCATTTGGGTCTTTACAACAGCATTCTCTGGCCATCCTGGTCAAACATGTCATTCACTCACCTCTCATATGATGGTTGGAACTGCTCTCTCGGGCGAGTGGCTTTGAACAGCCAACACCGTGGCTTACAGCCCAGCATCCAACCACAGTGCCCCAGGCTAGATGAACAAACCCCTCTCACCCAAACCATTCCCATTGCCATGTTCACCCGTGGGCTCCCAGAGAGCAAAGCAGAGCTGCACCCAAGGGTCCCCAAGGCTGTACATCTTTGCAGAAGCTGTCGCTGCCCTAGCTTCCTAGGCTAGTGGGTTTGAACTGCTGACCTTGCCGTTGGCAGCTGGGTGCCTTACCCACTGCAGCATCCAAGCTGCTCAACGGGATTCACTAAAGTATCTGTCACAGACTTGTCCTCCTCTGACAGCATCCAAGCCCCGTCCAAAGTGGCCCCGGCACAGGTGAGCAGAGAGAACAGGCTGCTCCGTGGACTTGGTTTCGGATACGCAGAAGCGGGAGCCCCTCCTAGGAGATGAACAACCTCCGTCCTGCTTGAAGAGATTGTACCCACTTCTCCCAGGCCCATTTAGCCAGAGGCTACCCCTTTTGTGGCACATTCTGAACACATATGGCACTGCATCCCATCACGCACCGGTCTAAGGCTTGTGTGGAGGTTACGCTGTAGTTAGGCACCGTGGACCTGGTTCCGACTCAGTAGCCGTGGTGGGTTCCACAGGATGAAACCCTGGTCCAGAGCCAACTTCGCATTTGGCCTGTTTCCATTCAGGGCTGCACTATTGTGACCATCCATCTCACCGAGACGGTTGACTCCACATAATGCCTTCCTCCAAGGGTTGGTCCCTTCTGGTAACACAGCCAAAGCACCTGAGACAAAATCTCGCCATTCTTGCTTCTCAGAAGCACTTTGCACTGAGCGCAACACAGACCTGTTTGTCCTCTGGGAAGTCTATCCTTCACCAGTCCGTACTTCTGTCATCACCAGTAGACGGGTCCCTAAGAAGCACTGACTGCCCTGAGGACAGTACAGATCTGTTTGTCCTCTGGGAAGTCTATGGTATAGCTAACATCCTTCACCAGTGCCGTCATGCCAAGGCACCGATTCTTCTTCAGCCTTCTTTATTCATTCATACAGCGTTAGCATGTATACAAAGCCGTTGAAAATACCCTGGCTTGGGGCAGGTACATTTTAGTTACCTAAGTGACATTTTTGCCTTAGCAAGCACAGTTGTGTCATCTACATATTGCGAGTAGTTGAAGTCTTCTTCCAATCTGGATGCCATATTTTTTAGTGGGGTCCATTTTTAGAAGTGGATCACCAATCAGATCCTTCTTCCTAGTCTGTCTGGGTCTGGAAGCTCCACTGACATCGGCCCACCACTGAGCTGTAGAATAAAATGTTTATGAAAACGGACCTTCTTAAAAAAATTGCTTTACAGTGGTCAAAAATACATTCACATATATAATGAAACATTTGCCAGCTCAATTTTTTACACGTATAATTCAGTGACATTGATTACGCTCATCATGTTGTATAACCGTAGCCTGTCTCCAAGTGAGTCCCTCACTCTGTACAGACTCGGTGTTGCCTAAGCAATGGCTTCCTCTTTGCCACCCCGATCATCACCAGTAGACTTTGGTCTCCACGCATGTCTCGTCCAGGTACTTCATACAGAAACATGGGATCGGACAAGATGATCCTTCTGTGTCTGACTTGTCTCACTCCGTATGATTTCAAGGTTCCTCCATGCCAGGACCTCTCTTCTCCTTGTGGCTGAATGCTATTGCTTTGGACACGTCATACTGTCGGTCCTCCCATGGGTTGCTGAACACTCGGGTTCTGGTTACATTCTGTTTACTCTGTTGCTTTCATGAACATGGGACACAAGTTCCTTTTTTTTTTTTTCTTTCTTAAACCCTTGTTCTTTTTTTTCATATTGACTTGAAAGGCCCCTTCAAATGATTAAAGAGTTTATTTCTTCTACAACCCTCATGTGTACGGGCAAATGCTTTCTCCAGCTGGTTCACACACGTTCGCCTTTGATGGCCTTTGATAAAAAGCACTTTGAATTACTCCATCCCATCTACTGGTCTTTTCATTTGGGGTGTGCAACGCAGTATTACACTTTAAAAATTCCTCTCCTCGCCAAGATAACATCAGCGTTCACCTTTAACTTCTTCTCTGTCTCTTTAGTTCGTTACTTCTCCTGCTTGCTTACGTCAGCCGGGACTTTACTGGGTGTTTCGACGATGCTTGCCAATGAGGAGCTAGCATCTCAAGCCATTGGTTGGAAGCTCCTTCCAAGCCCATGAATTCAGAAGGCTGCACTTATCACAGCAGGGAGTCTTAGGGGGACCACTGGCTTGCATGCTGTGCTTTGTATTTCTTCCTTTAAAAGTTTGTTTTAAACATAAGCACTGCAGCTGCCTTGTGATCTTTATTCTTAATGATCTGATGTTTGGGTTGGAATTATGAATGGCATTCTCCGTTATACATTACTTACTATTTTAGCATAAAATGAATAAATGTATAGGATGAATTCTCAGACCACTTGAAAGTGGAAGGATCAAATAGGTACTCCCCAGCCCCACTCACCCCGACACCCCCTCCCCTGCCCCCCAGGCTCACATTTGCCAGGGGTCCTTCCAGATGGAGGGGCTCTTGTCTCTTCTATTCGAAACGGGGCCTGGTGTCTGCGACAAGTGGCTAAAAACAAGGAAGAAGAGTGGGCTGCAGCGAATGGCCCTGTAGGCATGTCACTGCCACTTGCTGTTCTCCCAGGGCAACAGAGCACAGGCACCAGTCCCACTGGTGCACGGCCACCTCACCTTTCTCCTGAGGCCCATCCATGCAGGTACTTTCTAACCGCCATCTGTCAATGGACATTTGGGGACATTTCCCTGCTGCAGGCTCCCTCCCCCCAAACAGGCCACCCTTCCACCTTTGCACTCTCAGCAGGAGGGAAGCACGTGGAGATAGCTGCCCCTGGAGCTGCATCTGGAAGGCATTGTCCCCAGAGAACGCTGGCCTGGGGTGAGTTGCCCATGAACTTCAGGCACGGGGCCTAGCCCACCAGACTCCCAAGGCTCATGAGTGCACAGAGCCCGCCTTGGGGCCATGGGGCGCTAAGGACTACCACAGTGGGGTATGCTCAGATGCTCTTTGACCTGGAGGCGGGCTGCATGTTTCCTGCAGGGTGCTCCCACCTGTCGTGTGCCCTCCAGCCCTCCTGTGCTTACTTCCCAGCCCTTCTCCCTGTGCCCACAGCAGAGGCAGGTGGCTGAGGGAGCCCGGGGAACTCAGTGGTCCATCCAGTCAGCATCTGGGCAGGACTAAAGTCTGTGGTCCAGCAGGTGGGTGGACTTCTTCAAGGCCTGGGCTGGAGCACAAGAACCCTCCCAAGACCTCAGAGGGAGGCTGGAGTGACTGGGAAGAGTTCAGATTCCACCATGGAGAGACGAAGCTGGCCTTCAGGACAAAGGCCCAGGAGGGCTGGGGGTGTGAGGCAGGGGTTGGAAGAAAGGCAGATAGACCAAGGAGACTATGAGCTTCAAGGGTGGACACTCCTCAGAACCCCCAGCACAGGCTCCCCGTCTCTGTGTTTCATTCTTTCTATGAGGGGTATGCAGGTGACCAGGAACTGGCACTGCCTCAGGAGCCTGGCTTGGCTGGGCCCAGGCTCACCTGCCAGACGGTCTCCTGCCCCCAGGGTTGCACTGCTTGCTTCTCACCTCAGCCCAGTGGGGGCTGGGGCAACCATCTCCCTCAGGTCTGACCCTCACTCCTGCCAGCAGTGGGCCAGCCACCCAGGCTCCTTTGGATTAGGGCCCTGCTCTGGTTGTCCCCTCCACTCTGTGCCAGCACCGAGCCTCTTCTATGGCCAAGCTCCCTGGCCCGCACCCACAGGTGCCCGGCAGTGCTCTCTCCTCTTCAGTCAGTGCCCAGACTCCCCCCTCTTCATGTTCCCAACTCTCCAGGGGCCTGCTTTCTCTGTGGATGGGTTGTGATTCCTTTGGCAATGGAGTTCCCGCTACAAATCCTGGCGCTGACCAGGTTGATGTCCAGAGCAGCCATAGCCAACTCCTGTCCCTACACGGACTCAGAATGTCAAAGCGAACACA